GCTGCTGGCCTGCTGCTGCCTGCTGGGCAGCGCCCGCGCTCCGCGGGGTGAGGTGCTGCTTTTTCCCGGTCCCTCTGCCGTGGCGTGTTGCGGGGAGGCCTTAAAAATCACTCGGGTTTTTCCCTGAACGCGCTCCCTTTCTTCTGAGTGCAGCAAACCCTTAATTTAAAGGAGCTGCCTTGCTGATTTCACCTGACTGGAGCAAGAGAGACACTGAAAATGGGACTTTTAAAAATATTTAAAGCTTGGTATCAGAAAAAAAATGCAGACCTGTACAAATGCTAATCGTTATCACTTACTATATCGCACCCTACCTCCGGTACATACAATGACTTTCTGGCAAATAATGCACTTAGTCCTGTGCGGTTGTGTTTTAAAATGAAAGTTCTCAGACTGAATTTCTTCACTTTTAGCGTTTGGAAAGGATGAAGGTATGGTGCAGCTGGCTGGTGGGACGTTTCGGATGGGATTCGGTTCCCCGGAGAACAGGAATGAAGAGGGGCCCGTCAGGGAGGTGACGGTGAAGCCCTTTGCTGTCGACAGATACCCGGTGACGAACCGGGAGTTCAGGTAAGAGCGGAGGGAGGTTCGGGCCCCCTTGACTCGTGGGGTCTCGGTACCTCGGGCCGGCGCCGGGAGGATGGGGCGTTGGTATTTGGGGCTGGTTCTGAGTTTGAAAGCCAATGCTTGGGTGTGCACAGCTCCTTCATTAGAAAAAAATGTGTCTGTCAGTAATAAACCACCACTACGGGTGCAAGTTGAAGCATTTTACCAGCGTAGCTTGCAGACGTGCTTCCTCCTCTTCTTTCTCCCTCCTCCCCTCTTCTTCTTTCTTCCTCCTCTTCTTTCTCCCTCCTCCCCTCCTCTTCTTCTGTTTTCCATGCAAGCGAGCTTTTTTGTGTGTGTGGCTTTTTCTTAGTAATAGGGCTGTACTACTTCAGATTTCACGTTCTTATAGGTTGGATTTCCATTTGTAAACACCGGGCCACTCCATGTATTTTATAGAAGCCCTTGCACAGCGTGCTAATAAATGCACAGGGGGAGAGGGGGGGAATGGAAATGCCTTTATTTTGCCCGATTGAGCCCTAGTAGGTTAAAAAGAGCCAACACTTCCACACACCAGTAACTGCCGAGAAACACCCAGTAATGGGAACTTAGGAGATTGGAAAAAGACTGGGACAGAAGCAGGATGAGATTATTCAGCAGTATGTGACATTCTTTTGCATTTTGGGGACATCTAACAGCAGCCATAGGTTTATAGGCTTTTAAGGGATTTTTGATCTGTGCAACGTTTCATTTTATGCAAGACCAGAGTGCTGGGTGAGTTTACCTGCATAGGTGACAGAAAAACTATCAGATCTGCGTACAGATGCAAACAAGACTGTTTTATCTGTTAAATCTGTATCAAACCAACTGGAGCTGTGTGAGGGAGGAGCTGGGACTCTCTGCAGATGTAGGGTGTCTGTAGGTCGTGTACGTTTTGCCTTGCTCTGAACTTGTTGCGTGTGCAGATTGCTGTATGTGGTGGTGGAACTCCTGAAGAACTCTTAACCAGATGCCTGAGCATGTTGTATTTATGCCAGGGAGTTTGTTAGAGAAAAGAAATACAAAACCGAAGCAGAAGCATTTGGCTGGAGCTTTGTCTTTGAGGATTTCGTATCTGAAGAGCTGAAAAAAAAAGTCACCCAAAAACTGGAGGTAAATCTAAATCCCATGGTGATGAGTTTCAGTGATGATGATGGAGATGGTATTTCTGATCACATCCCTGTCTGACCTCTGTTTTAAGTGGAAAAAAACCAAAACCCAAAATAAACAGGAGGGGAGATCCTTGCTGGTATTGCTCTTCCACTAAGTAGCAGTTCCCTCTCAGCATAGAGCCTGGCTATACTCAGTGGGTTTTCTTTAGTCTTGGGGGTTGTTTTGCTTTTGAAACTAACAGCAGGGTTGAGCCTGGGTTGATTTACATCCTCTCCAAACACTGTCAGACTGGACTCATGGAATGCTCCAGTGAGCCAGGAGAGAACAAAGCACATTTCAAAGTACTTTATTAATCAAACCTTAAAATAGAAAAACTGAACAGCATGGATCTCTTGATCTATTTTCACTTTTAAAAGCAGGTGTTTCTACTTGGAAAGCACTATCAAAATGCCTATGATAACCCAGCTCAAACCTCAGCATTTCACCATTTCCAGACTAACAAGTGCTCTTCTTTAGGCAAACTGTTGTAGGATGGTGTCGGGTGGGTGTTGCCAGTTCAGCTTTAATCTGGTGTCTCTTCTTTTCCCAGTCTGCCCCTTGGTGGCTGCCCATCGAGAAGGCTTTTTGGCGACAGGTGAGTAAAAATCAGGTGTGGTGAGTCCTCTGTGTGCTGGGAGCGTGCATGTGTTGGTGTGTGCTGAACCTTACTGACTGAAAATAGGGGGGGGGAAAAAAATAGCATTTCTGGTTGCTGCATGTTCCCTGCCTTGGCCTGTTCAGTCCTTTTTTCCCTTTTTAATTGAAAAGTTTATAAAGTCAATTAAAATCTGCTTGATGCAATTCCTCCCAGCCCTCAGGTCCTGGCTCCAGCATAAAGGACAGGCTGGATTACCCGGTGCTGCACGTGAGCTGGAATGATGCGCGGGCATTCTGTGCCTGGAAAGGGAAGAGGCTCCTGGCAGAGGAAGAGTGGGAATTTGCTGCCAGGGGAGGACTGGAGCGTATGTACCATGAGCTCTGACCTTTTGCCAAACCAAGGCACTGAGTAATGTTAATTCTACCAGATCTAAACCTCCATCCAGGGATATTTTCAGAGGTTAATCTGGGGAGCTTGAACCACCTTTTTTGACCTAGGAGTCAAATTAATAATAACAACACAGGAAGAAGTGGCTTATCTATGCTCTCAACATATCTTCCTCAACAAAGCACTTCTGCTAGCTAAAAATACCATTTCTTGGGTTTGGGGCAAGGAGTGACCCACCTGCCCCCACCCATTGATGGTGGCATAAAACAGTTGCTGGGATCACTGGGGGGACCATGGGACTCCCTGGCACAAGTGATGGTTTGTAAATGGGAAGCTGTTGCTGATTCCTGTCTCTCCTTGCCTTCTTGGCAGTCTGCAGGGATTAAACTGACTAGTCCTGTTCATATAACACCTCTTGGTGTCCTGAGCTGAGCAGAAAAGCATGATCATAAAAGCTTGGTTAAAAATAGGCCAATGCAGAGGCTGGACTGACACAGGGGTGATAAGTGTCTCTTCCTCTTTGGCAGAAAGGGTGTATCCCTGGGGAAACAAGTTTCAGCCGAACCGTACAAATCTGTGGCAGGTAAGATCCTAAAAATCATCCCATCTACACTGAGCTCCTCTGAGGGTGGTGTTTGACTCAGCTGCAGAGTGTGCGTGGTTGCCTGAGCAGGCTGTGTGGTCCTGGGAAGCAGTGCAGATGTACCTGCAGGGTATGACATTCAGCTCCGGGTGGGTTATCCAAAATATCCTTAGAGGGAGCAGACTCAGCCCAGCTTCCCTGGGAAAGTGGGATTTCAGTGCTTCCAAAAAGCCATACATGTTTGTCTGAAAAGGAGGTTGTCTTGGGAGAACTTTAGATGGTTGATCTCCTCTCGCGGCCAGAAATTCTGTGTAAAGTTAAATTTACAAGAGGGAGTTATTTCCATTATTCAAGTGTAACACGATCCTGTGAAGAGCAGGACTTTGTGTTGTCTCCACGGTGGGTCTTTGCTCGGAGGGACCTTTCTTCCCACAGGGCGATTTCCCAAGGGTTGACACAGCTGAAGATGGTTATCACGGCGTCTCGCCGGTGGCAGCGTTCCCTCCTCAGAACAACTATGGTATGGAGTGAACATCCCCACCCTGGTTTTGGGGATGGCATCTGCTTCCTAAATTAACGCTAATTATAAAATCCAGCAGTTGGGGCAGACTTTCAGATATGATGTGACATCAGCATCTTGACAGAATAACTGGGCCCAGCAAAAACCACTGATGGTTGTTACTGAAGTTGGCTGATGTGCACCTGTGCTCTTCAATGCATCAAACCAGCCCCTGCTTTTAATTAGAAGTTAAGTTATTTTGCACTTCAGTGTGATTTACCTGAAAATCCCAAGCACGTGGTTTTGGGATGGGAAACGATGGGAGGCTTTAAAGGTCCAGTTGTAAACTGGGGCCAGTTTGAAATACAGTGAAGAGTTCCTGGTTCCCAGTCTCACAATTAAACCACGCTCTTGCAGTGATGCTTTGAATGTTTCACCCCCCTCCCATACACCAAAGTGCTTCTGCAGTCCTTGCACACGTGCTCTCCTAATCCTGATGCGAAACCATGTGTGTGTCAGGGCTCTATGACCTGCTGGGGAACACCTGGGAGTGGACTGCGTCCGAGTACCTGACCCCAGGACTGTCATCGAGGCAGCGTGCTCAGAACATGCAGGTCCTGAGAGGTGCCTCGTGGATCGACACTGCAGATGGGTCTGCAAACCATAAAGCTCGTGTAACTACCAGGTAGGTCTGGGCAATGCCCCGGCGCTGTTTTGCAGTGATTTCTCCTCGCTTGGTTGTAGAAGGAGGGGGTTTTATTGTAAAAGACATTTGTTTCTTCCTACTCAGTTCTTCTGAGAAGCGGTTAGGAAAACATATTGCAAATACTGGTAAAAATGTTACTGCTATAAATACATTCTTAATTGCTTTTCAAACCCTGTGTATTTTCCATTAAGTGTTTAGAATGAGATGCTTTTCTTGAAGTTACTCAGGGACCATGGGAAGATGTTTCTAGTCTGTTACAGAGGATCACATTAAATGATACAAGTGTTAACTAGGAAGGATCCCTAATTTTGGGTCTTTTTCTTTTTCTCCCCCCCCCACCCGCCACCGTGAGAATGGGGAACACACCAGACTCTGCCTCTGACAACCTCAGCTTCCGCTGCGCTGCCGACGTTCTGCCTGTCCTGGCCGAGAAGAGCCGGACCAAACCTGAGCTCTGAGGAGGTCACTTGGGAAGACCTGAAGGCGTTTTCTCCTGTGGAGATGAACAGTAACCCCCTGCAGTCACTTTCGTTAAACCCAGACAGTTTTAAAAATGAAAAATAAATACTTTCAGCTAAAACTCCTTTCTGTGCTGGGATGTCTGGGCACGAGCAGTGACTGTGAATGGCAGGCAGGGGGGTTTGTCTTTAATGTCCTTTTGATGTGGTAGGTATTCCTGCCCTCCTTCTGGTGTCCATTTGAAATAAACAGAGATGTGCATGGGTGTGGGACCAGGCCAGAGCTGCTCTGACCTCCAGCCCCAGCTGCAGCAAGCAAACACTGGCAGCCCCCGCCCTGTGAAGACCACCATGGTGCTGCCATGAGGGGCAGCTGCTGGGGGCGAGCAATGGGGCACGTTCCTGGAAAGGGGACTTGTATGTTTGTCCCCATCTCCTTGGGAAGTCCCAGCTTTGTACCATCTGCTGAGCCTTCTCTGAAGTAAAACAAGGCATCTTTATTGACCCTTGAGCACTGGCAAAATGATGAGTGTGCTCATTTCTAAGTGCATAGATAACACAACCCAAAAACCCACCTCTCCCAGGTTATAACCAGCATAAAGGCTACAAACCAGCTGTGCACAACCTCTGCCACCAAAGCAGATGGGACCAGCAGCTCTGAGCACATGGGTGGGTGACATCACCCCCTCTGGGCACTGCTCACCCTTCTCCACCCACAACTCCCCCAAAAGGGTCCCACTGCGGGGCTGGATGAGCCGTCCAGACGCAGCTTCTCCAAACCCATCCCTTACAGCAGGACACAGCCCAGGGGAAAATCACAGCCATCTGATGGATCTGCATTTGCACCTGACCTGAGGCCACCCATATCTCTGAGAAAAAGCAAAAAAAATATCACCAGTTGGTTTTCAAAGATTTTACTTGCCTTAATTCTGAGCAAGCTCATCGTTTTACCCAGCGGCAATCAAAACAGCCCTTCCTCGGCTGCCAGGGTCAGTAAAATGGCCTTGCAGGTGTTCTCGAAGAGGGCAGCTCTGTTCTGTGCCTCCCCCTTCTTCACCCAGTGCCGGTAGGTCCTGAAGGCGCAGGCGTCGATCAGCTTGCGGATGGGCTTCAGGGCATATGGGTCCCGCACCACCAGCTCCCTGGTGACTGACTTGACCAGCCGGTACTGGTAGTAAATACGGACTGAGGCCAGGACAGTCAGGCAGATCACCTGCAGCATGGGGGAAACAGGTTGGAATTAATTCATGGCCAGTCCTACAAAGGACTCAATCAGCCCCAGTGCATCCCATGTGGCTGCTGTGTGGAGGAGTCTGGAGAGAGCCCAACTCCTGGCACAGGTATTGAGTCCCATATAGGCAGTATGGGCTTTTTCCAAGTGCCCTTATCATCAAAACTGCAGGTCAAGCCTAAAATGTCACCTAATACCGCTTCGGGTACTCTGAGCTGCCCTAATGCCTTATAAGGAAGGGAAAGGATTGCTGCTTTTTATCAACTTCCGCATCATTTGATGCGCCCACATGGTGTCAGGCTCATTGACTTCCCCTTAGAGGCGATTTTTTTTTTTTTTTAATGATTTGCAGGGAAGGCAGGCTTTCCTTATTGACTCATCTTCTGTGGAAAAGCCCTTAGGAAGTACCAGAGAGTAAGCAAAATAGTGCTTAGAGAAGGGCTCCGCACAGGCTGCCGCATCCTGCCGAAGCCCAGGTCCCCCAGCCTTCATGAACTCCCAGTTTCTCCTGGGTCAGCTGGGCAGCCCAGCCCACTGCTCCTGCAGCTCCCGGCCTCCAGATTGGGGCACTGAGTCACCCCCATACCCAACCTCACCTTGAATTTCCGGAAGGGGCTGAAGTGCCGGACCTCCTCTACGTCGTACTGCTGGAAGAAGGGGTGGGCCAGCGCCTCGCCGGCCGTGTACCGCTGCTGCGGGTCCACCACCAGGAACCGGGAGATCTGCAGGAGGGCACGTGATCAACCTGGGGTGTCCTTGATGTCTGCAAATCCCCCGCCTCACCCCAGCCTTTCCCATCCTCAAGCACCTACCAGGTCCTTGACGGTGTCGGAGCAGTCATCCCACTCCGGGGAGCTGAACTGGTAGTCCCCGTTCATGATCATCCGCAGCATCAGCATCTGCTTGCGGTGCCAGAAGGGAGGCGAGCCGGCCAGCAAGGTGTACATGATCACCCCGGTGCTCCACCTGCGGGCAGCCCAGCCAGACCCTCCAGCCCCAGGCAGCACCCCGGGGGCACCCAGCCGGACCCATGCCCCAGAGGTGGCTCAGTGCCTCCCCGCAGCCAGGACATGCTGGGCTACATGTGGCTTTGCCTCCCTGGAAAACCAGGAGGAATCTGCCCTGCGTGGTGTCTGATGAGGAGAGACTGAGCTCGCTGCTGGGGCTTGTTAGCCCCGATGGATAATGAAGAGCAGAGGCTGCCCTGCTGCTGCTGGGGAGGGGTTTGGGGTTTCTGGGTTGAGCTGATGTGGAGGTGCTCTCCTGGATGCTGCAGGAGGAAGCTGTGAGTTGGAGATATTTGCCTTTCTTGGTTTTTCTTAGGTTTCTTTAGGGGAGGGAGATGGTGGTGCCAGCGAGGCTGGATGCTATGGGGCTGTCTCAGCTAAGGCTGCAGCCTTAACAAAGTGTCCTGGTGTAGGAGTTAGCAGAGGTGTATTTAAACTGAAAAGGTGCTGAAATGCTCTGGTGTGTCTCAAGTTGTTGGTCACAGCTCTGACTGCTGCAGACCTGAGCCTGAAGTCACCAGAGATGGTGGCAAAGTCCCTGCAGGGCTCTGATGGGCTTTCCTGAGCTGGCTACTCTCTCAGGGGCTGCCTTGGGATCATGTCTGGCTACAGGGTGCGTTTAAAAAGCCCTGTGTCTTGGAGCCCAGCCTGAGCCGATTTTTGTGAACAGAAAGTGTTGAAGTGTTGCTTTCCCTCCTCCCTGACAGGGCAAAGAAGGGAAATAGGCTCATCCCCAGGCTGCTTCTCCCCCAGCTCTGTGCCAGAGCCTCCTGGTCACCCAGATGGCCCCTTGCAGCCCCAGAGCTTGTCTTTCAGTGCACCATTTAATTCCTTCTAAACACTCAAAATGAGTCCCCATCTGCACAACTCTCACTGTGCCTCAAACCACACATGTTCTGGGAGCAGCCCGAGGGGCGGGGTGGGAAGGTGGGTGTCTCACTCACATATCAACCTCCTTCCCGTAGCCTTGGTGCTCATCGTCCATGGAGCACTGCAGGATCTCGGGGGCCAGGTAGCCAGGTGTGCCGCAGATCTCTGCGAAAACAGGGCAGAGCATCCCCTGAGCCACCCTGGAGGGTTTGTGCCATCCCCACCCACCCCTGAGCAGTCCATGAAGGGGGCCTGGATTCCAGGTGGGATTTTTGAAGTGATGGTGCTCACGGGGAGGCACTGCAACTCATGTGCATCTTACTGGTGACTTTTCTTGGTGAATTATAGTGGCTAAAAAGTGAGTGGAGAGAGCAATGGGGATGCCCATTGTTGGCTCTGTGGCTCTGTGCAAGGTAGGAGTTAGGATAAAAGCTTAATGTTGGGCAGTGGATAGGGTAATAAGGATCAACTGGAAGAAAAAAGAAGTGGGAAGAATAGAATGGTTTTCCTAAGGGACACCAACTTCTTCGTGGCAAGGAGTGTGGTGTGGAGGCTGTGCACAGGCAGAGCTGGGCTCACGTGCAGGCAGGAGGACACCCCAAGCTCACAGGCACCAGTCTGCACACACAGCAGCAACACTGTCCCCAAGGAGCCAGTGGGGCTGGAGACACTCCACTGACTTGCTGTGGACACTGCAGCAACAGGGTGGCCACGGGCCAGCCCAGCATCACCCCCACCTCAGCATCTTCCTACCTTTGAGCTTCTCATTCTCGTGCAACTGGCAGGAGAAGCCGAAGTCTGTCAGCTTAATGTTCATGTTGTCATCCAGGAGGATGTTCTCTGGCTTCAGGTCCCGGTGGACGATGTTGATGGAGTGGAGGTACTGGATCACTTCCAGCAGCGCGCGCATGATCTTCCTGGGGATGGGTGACAGCACCTCTCCTAGCCCAAACACCCACCAGCACCGTGCTCCCAGGGATGGGGACAAGGACGGAGACCACGCAGCTCAACCCCTACATCTGAGCACAGGGGCACAGCCCAGGGTGCTGTTTTGCCCATAGGTGCCATGTCGTTGTCCTCTGAACCCATGCTCTGCTTTTGCAGCACGATTTTCAGCCATCTGCAGCTGGTCTTACCTGGTTTCCTTCTCGCTCAAGGTGACTTTCTCAGTGAGGTAGTCGAAGAGCTCCCCTCTCTTCATCCTGCACGTGGGACAGAAAAAGAGGCAGGCAGTGGCTGAGCTGCAATGGCAAACCAGCCCCGAGCCCCTGGGGTGGATCGTTTGGGGGTTGCTGCCACTTCACAGCCCAGGGCAGCCACTGCACAAAATGACAAGACAGCTCGTTAATAAAAATGGGTGAAAATGCCTCTGTTTTGCTGCAAAACATCAGACAGAAGGAGGAAAATCTATCCCTGGAGAGGGCAGGTTTTGGATGGGACAGGGGCAGGGCTCTCCCGATGCCATCCCCCTCCGCTGACATCCATCGTGCTGCCTGGGAATCAGGAATTACGGCGTCACGCGCACCCTGGTCCCCCCGGGCATATAAATAACCCACAGGGACGCCTGACGGCTCCCACCAAAGGTTACAGGGAAACCTGAGCAGTGCCGAGCCGCTGACAGGGAGGAAACACTGGGGGTGGTGAGGCCGCAATGAGCTCACTCACAGCAACCAAGGCTCGTTTCTACCTTAAGCAAGAGCTGGTTGTTCCCCCACTTTGCCCTGTTTGGATCATAAAAAGCTGGGGCAAGTGTTGGCTAGCGGCCACCTGCAGAGCGGGAATGGGCTTGGGGAGATGGTGACGGGCAAACTGGTACTTACAGGTCAAACACCAGGAAGAAGAAGGTGCTGGATTCATAGCTGTCCTTCAGCTGGACTGTAATGAAACACAGGGGCTGTGAGCACAGCGTACAGCATGTTCCTGTCCATTCATGGACTAAAAATTGCTTATCTAATTGCTAACTGAAATAATGAATTGATCTTCACAAGTGTTTTGGTTGGGAGACAACCTGGGCAGCATGGGCACTGCTGGTGGGAGTGCCAACATAGAGAAAATGATGCAGGTGCCCTGCGTTGTGTTAGGACGTCTGACCCTCTAGGGTTTTCACCTCAAAAATCCCTCCCAGGGACACCCTGAAGAATAAATGGGGCACAAAACCCCCTTGCCCTGATGCTCAGAGCCTGACTTACTGATGTTGGGGTGGCCTGAGACTTTCCGGAGAATGTCGATCTCTTTAGTGGTGGCTTCTCGCAGTTCCTGCACCTCCTTGGGGGATATGTTACCTGCCGTGATGTCGATGATCTTCACTGCATACTCCTGCTGGGTGGTTTTGTGAATGCACCGACGGACGACGCTGCTCACCCCCCTGCCAGGGACAACACAGACAAGATGGGGGTTTCCATTACTCCCCATCCAGCCTGACTTCGCAGCCGTGCCATCGACACCTGGGCTGGTTGGTATTTTCACACATGAGTGGGTCTCATGCTATGACCCTGTCTTGGTGGGACAGATTTTGAGCTGATGGAAAGTGCTGCTTCATGCTATTTTTAACCCCATGCTCTTATGGGACCTGTTCATATCAGATTCCCAGAGGACACTGTTGCTATAGAGTACTGGAGTCCATGAAACCACAGTTTGCCAAAACCAAGCTTTACCTGCCCAAAACCTCCTTCGGCTCATATTTTTCGTAAAACTCCTTGGATGAGTTCCAGTCTGGTAGGTCTTCTTCCTTGGTCATCTCTGGCGCTTGTCTGGCTGCACTTTAGGCTCGTCTGGTGGCAGAAAGGGGCTGCGAGGACAAAAGAGCAAGGATGGGTGCTCAATGCACCCAGGACAGGAGCAGGGACCTGCCTCGTCCCCAATTGCCCCCACAGGGGTAAATCATTGAGCTGGAGAAGGAAGAGGAGGATGATCCTGTACCACAGACCAAAGAGGGTATTTCACTGGTTGAAAAAGCAAAGCTTTGCACTCGGGACACAGTGGAGATCCCACTGAGAACAGGAGAAATCCCTCTGGATCCCCTGTAGCCTGGCTGAGGCCCAGGGTTTGGGAAGTGCTGCAGCACCTCAAAACTTCGTCCCTTCCTGCAGAGCGCCTGCACCCAGCTCGCAGGGCATCATCCTCCTGCTCCTACCACATGCTAAGGCTACACCATGCTTCTCCCAGTTCCTCCCACTGGGGAAAGCAATTTAACTAATTTTTTTGAGTGTTCTGCTGAGGCTGTGGAGGGAGAGCACAGGGAGAGCACTGGCAGGGGAAGCACCTTAAGCTCACCCAGGGGACAAAAGCGTGCAGTAGCAAGGTGGTGCTGGCACAGCAGGTACAAAGATCCTCAGCAGCAACAGCAGCTTCCAGAAATGTCACCCCATGCGGACAACACCCAAAGACCCCTGCAAAGCCCTGAAATCTGTCTTGCCTTTTTTTTTTTTTTTTAAATTTTCCTCCTTTTTTTTCCTGATTATTTTTAAGATGACAAAGTTGTCCAGAACGGTTTGGCTGAGAACAAGGAGAGAAAAAAAAAATGTTTAAAGTGAATGGAAAAGGAATAAGAAGGGAAATTGGGTGGGAAGGGTTGGTGAAGTGGCGTGGGGGGGGCTCAGTGGGTCAGGATGCAGGCCTGGAACCGGGTGACTGGGGACAGCCAGCCCTGTGTGGGGTCAGCCAGGGCCAAGCCAGCCTGAGGACAGAGGGTGAACGAGCTTCCTCGGCCACACACATGCATGTGCCAACAGCCTCCAAAACTCCAGAAAGGCTTTTGTGCCATTTCCTTTTTCCTTTTTTTGGGTGTTTTTGTTTTGGGGTGTCTTTTTGGTATGTGCTGCCATTGCTGAAGGAGGAGCAGTATGACAATCTTGTGATAGAGAGGGGAAAAATAATCAGTAGTCCTGATCCTTAATTTTCACCAGCGTTTCCCTTTAAGCCCTGGGAACTGGATGTCCTCAGCTTGTTCCTGCACCTGGCATTGCTGAAACCCCAATTGTTTGGGTCCAGCTGGTCCACAAAAGTACACAGAGACCAAACAGTTAGTGTGGCAAGCAGCTCTTAGAAGCTTGGGCAACAGAACTGTCACTTTGGGACAACCGTTTCTTGCTGGGGGAGGGATAGTAGGTGGGCAGGAGAGCCCCAGTACTGGGGGTTTTTCTTTGCCCTTCTCTCTGAGGTGGCAATAACTCTACCAGGATACTCCCAGGCAGGTTTGCACCTTTAAGTACATTTAAATCTTATTATCAAAGTGTATCTGTCCTGACCTGGTTATAAGGACTGATGCTGTGTTTTAGCTGTCTGTCTCTTGCTGCTGCTGGGAGGGATGTCTAATGAGGGCTGGAGCATTCCTAAACAGCTGTAAGCTTGATTTAATTTATAAAATTTTAGCCATTGGAAATATCATGAGCAATGCCAAACCAACTCAGGGCTGAAATTATAAATCAGAGGCAGAACAGGGAGCAGCGAAGAGAAACTATCTCCAAGGATGTGGAGAACCAACAACTCTGAATTTTTTGAAGCTGAAATCAAAGTCCTGGGGGTTGGTGGTGTAGGGAAGGGCTGGGGAGCATCTGCAGAGCACTGCCAGGAGAAGCCCGGGGTCTGTGAGCTGCCTCCTGGGGGGGAAGAGCCCAGGAGTTTGTTTAAAACATCCTGATTTTACGTAAGTAGCTGGTACAGAGCACGAACAGGATAAAGCGGTTTTATTATCGGAGCTGTACGAGCTCCATAGGAGGGCGGGCGGCGGGGGAAAGGGGGTC